AATTTTAGTAATCGAGGTACTCGAATCATTCGAGGAATCGTTTCAGCCCTAGTCATGACAGTCTTATTCAACCCCCTTCAAATAAAGTGTTACCGCGTTTTATTCCCATGTTACACTGGTGGACCTCCCAGGGTTCCTATGACCCTTCAGCTGTCAGTACTACGGGTCGGATTTTATATTAATGTTCCCAAACAACAATAAAAATGCTACAGTTTACCATCAAATATGGAGAAAAGTTGTGTTCACTCAAGGATCTGGCTTTCAGAAACTACCACAGCCGCCCACTGCTGTGTTTAACAACACAGACATTTTTTATCTCTCAGGAGCCAGAAGAGGGATATACACATCAGGGGAAGCAGTTGGTTTTTACTTCCCTTACACTGCAGTAAGAAAAGTACTTTACAGACATTTACCTCAACAAACAAAAAAAGAGAAGAAAGAGAAAAGGGCATTCGGGGTAAGTTTTGTATCCAGGTCTCTATAAACATTTTATGGGAAATAAGCCCCTGTGCCAAGAAGTCATCAGTGCATATTTTCTGTTTCGTTTTCCAAAAGCATTCAAGCAGGAAAAAGAGGTTGCTGCAACTTGCTTGAATTGGCAGATTTACAGGAATAACGAGACGGGCTCCGGTTGTGTGAAACTCACTGGACATGCTGAGGTCTTTTGTCTCCTGGGTCTCATGGCCGCACTTCGGACAAGGTGGAGCCTTGCCTTTCTCCTGTTTGAACACTTTACTCTTGGCATGGTCGTCACAGTAACAGGCCTGCAGATGTGAAAAAGAAAACTTTTAATACTCACTGTCCTTTCAACTATGCATTAAAAACAGGAAAGTGTTCAAGAAAGAGAAAATGTTCAAGAGACAGAACAACAAAGGAAACCGACACTGCAAGGACAGAACTAAAATAATAGACACTTTGAGTCAAGTCATTCTGTTTTTACCCCTTTGAATAGAAAAACCAGTCATGCTGAGTAGATGAGGAAGTGGAAGTAGTCAAGAATCAATAGACAGTTTACTTCTAGTCGTTTATACACAAATTTAAACACCATGAAAAAATAATGGTACTACTGTAAAAAACAAGAAAACTGAGGGAATATCAAGAAACTGAAGACATTAAGTTTAAAACAAATCAAAGATGCAATAAGGTCTCATTTAAAAGAGCCAGCAGTTTATGTGCTTTTATGAATGGTAACAGAAGTTGTAATACTTCGCAGTTTGAGCTAGGAGAAAATACAGACAGTAAAAGTTGCCCGAGAATGCAGCCTTGAGGAACACCAAACGACTGAGTGAATAATCACAGGTTGAAACAGCTTTTTATGCAGGCATGAAACCAACCACCTGAATTCAATGGGTTTGGGTCATTGGAGCAAAATATGACAGGATGCGGTAAAAGGCCTGCAGAAGATTTTTCTGCTTATTGGCCAATATGAAAACATTTTTGCCAGTAAACAAACAAGGAGAAGCTTCTAGGCACCACAATGGAACAAACTTCCAGAAAACTGCAAAACAGCTGAAACACTGAGTTCTAAGTGGACCCCACTTATCGGCCAAGGTCCACTAGAGTCAGTGAGGACTCTGCTCTCCGTGATGGACGATCTGTTCCGCTTCCGCCAAGATACCACTACACTCGACAGCTTCTTCAGATCTGAAGCCTCCAGGACTGGATTTCCTCTCCTACTCTGTCATGGCGACAGTATATTAAAATGTCAAGAGTCGACATCCTGGAAATTTCCACTGATCAAAACTTCTACACAGCAAAAACACAAAATGCTACCAAGTATTTTTGGTTTAGCAAATATTGTAGTACATTATTTAGTACAAATGTTGTAGCCCATTTACAAGAAGACAAAACTAACTGACAAGTAACTTTTCAGCAGGATAAAAGCACCCAATAATTCCTTGATAGTGATTAAAAAGTACCAGCTCCACTAGCAGATTATTTCACTAAAAATATCTTGTTTCAAGTGAAAAAAAATCTGACAGTAAACTCTGTAGTTTTTAATCATTATTAAGGAATTATTTACTTAAAAACAGGCTCTTATATCTTCACTGAGAAGTCACTTGTTAAGTTTTTCTCTTATTTCAAGTATACCAAGATATTCATACATGAAACTGGCTAAAAATGCTTGGTAAAATTTCATGTTTTGCAGTGCAAATAATAAATCAAAGGTCCTGAGCCTCAAACCACAGTTAATCATCTCTTCTCCTTTAGCTGCGAGTAGTTGCCAGATCTAATTGCTTAACATTTTCAAATTGTGAAATGGCTTCAGAAGGGGCAGATGACACACTGACTTTCTGTTCCCTGGAGTAGAGAATGGTCTTGTTCCAACTCTTCCTGTTATAAATGTTTAATTACCTTTTAATTTGCAACATTTGAACTTAACGTTTTCCTTTCATGCTGCTGTTGTGCAACCCTGCCACAGCAGCAGCGTTTATGTAAACCTCTAAAGTCTTCAAGAATGCTGAGTCAGCTTAACTCAGCTTAACCTTGGTTATATGTCTTTTTTTTTATCCAACTGTAGAAATGCAGTTAGACCCTAGTTGAAACTAAAGATATTAACTTACACAAAAATTGCTTTAAATAACTATAACCAACTGGGATCAAGATGCAGAGTTTTTATAAGCTTTTCCTCATTTTGTCCCTCTAAAAAAACCAAAAAAAACATTTCAATGTGTTTTTGTGACTTTGTGCGACAAGTCAGAACAGAGTGGTGTACAGTTGAGAATATGCAAAACATGCATATTCATATGAGATAGCCTATTACCCTCAGCCTTCCTGAGGTAATATCATGTAGAAACACCTTTTGCAACAGTACCTGCTGCAAGTGTTATTTGTTTTTATGATCATGCATCACTCTCTGACCCCCAACTTCTTTTAAGTGTTTTGCTTTCAAAGCATTCCTTTAAATGAACTGTGTATTCAAAATATTTTAATTTTAAACGCCATGATAACTTGACCCTGAGGTAGAGCTTGCATAACAACATGTGTTTATTTTTAGCCGCTCAGTTTAAAGTCTACCCTGTTCCTGGCAAGTCAAGTTTTATCTGATCGGAGCGTAATCCGCGCAGCTGCTCAGATGGGAAAGCCTTAATCTTTAGTTTCATTTATTCAGCCTCAGTATACCTGCAGGATTTGTTGAAATGGTACAAACAAAAACAAAAAGTACTTGCGTTTGTCTAATTTTAGCTCACAGAATAAGTTAAAGGAATTTTGAGGACCGGTCTTTTCTCGTGTGATGCAGGCTGATGGAATGGATAAAATTTCCAGCTGAACATTCTCACCTTACAGCGCAGGCACGAGTGTTGTCCCAGTCTGTTACAGGAAACGCCTGAAATAAAACACAGGAAAGGATAAAAATGCATTCACTTTCTCTTCAGTGCACAAATCTCCTCCAGGTATTACTCTGCAGAACAAATAAGACACAATTTATTTTCCTTTTAACCACATGAATGGGCGCGTAAATCCACGACTCACATTTAAAGGTTTCTGCCTGCAGGACTTGACAGCTGGCCTGGTGCTCAAATTGATCATCCTCACATAAGAAATTCCGACAGAAGGAACAGCGGAAAATCCGACCTCCTGCAAAGGAAATGGAGCATCCCGTTGATTGTCAGTGTTTGAGCCGATGGGATTTGTTTACAAGCAGAGGGGAGTGTCTTACCATGATCCCAGACTCCACGCTCACACTCGATGCAGTCGGCGTCGGCCAGAGGACATGAGCAGGCGTGGGTGCTCAGACATTTCCTACCATGGCAGACCCAGGCTTCACAGAAGTCACACACTGCCCCCTTGTGGATAAAAACAGGTTTTACATATCTGGACAGGATAAAAATGATCTAAACTTGGTTAACTGGAGAAAAGCTGGCAGCACATTCAACAAGATTATTATTAGTTCAAGAAGGATTGAGGCATAAACGAAAAGCTCTTTGAATACATTTCTTAAAGAGCCGAAAAGAAAACTTTCAAGCTGAATGCCAACATAAAAAAAGAAGCTCAATATAAAAAAAGTTAAAATAGGAGCTAAAAATAAAAATCCCTTTCAGCCTGTTAACCAGCAGCCTGACAAAAAAAAATACCAAAAATAAATCAGCAGCTGTTCTTATGGAAGAAGACCAGGACTCCTGAAAGTAATGAATAAAAGAACTCTGACTTTGATCTCACGCTGTTAAAGTCAGATTTCTGAGAAAAAAGTTAGAACAAAGCATCACATGTTAAATCACAGAACACATCAAGAGCAGTTTATCTGCTGTAATACATTTGTCTGAATTGAAAAAAGTGATTTATTTTTTTCCTCATCACTGCTCCCATCTCCTTTAGAGAACATGCAAAAACTTGGTCTCTTTGGGAAGATATCAAAATATTTTATTTTCATCTTTTTCATCTACTGGTCAAAATTGGAATCAGCAGATTAAGCTTTTTAAAGATCGTGATAGCCCTGAAATCGGTGCCCCCTAGTGGAAATATGTTCTTGGATTTTGCACTCTTGAGGCTCACTCTGATTTTTTCTTCACTCTGTTCCTGACTATATCAACTTTATTCCCTAATAAATAAAATCCTACAATTAAAATATGACACAGTTATGTTCTGCACTTAATCTGGCTTTTTAAAAACACTGAAACTAATAAACAAATTATCAATTACAAGATTTTAAAGAGAAGAATGACGTACATCAGATAAAATAGTAGGTAGTTTCATATAAGCATGTACTTTAATAAAGCGACTAATTTTATTTAACCACAGAAAATATCTAGAACTGTATATCTAACCAGATAGTGTAAGTGTTATAATCTAGTTTCTAAAACAGATCCAGATCAGAACAAGATTTACTTATGGTTTGATATAAACTCACCACCATGGCCATTCCTGTGCTGTGGATCCCTGGATGCTTGATAACACAATCAGAAGCCTTCATGCACTTAGTTTTACCTAAAAAAAAAAACAACCCACAAATAAATCAACATTTATTATAACAATAACATTATTTTACTCCAATAATCCTAAATAAAATTGAAACAGTCCATTGTGTGTAATTTAATAAGACAGTCATACAACAACACTCTTCAGTCAGAGGCATCTTCAGATTCGTTGCGAGATTGACTGCAACTAGAAAGCTTTCTTGTCCACACGTTTTTGAAGATACTTACATGAGTAACTTTCTTAAATGAATTAAAAATGCTTGAGATAGTGAACAATTAGGTGGAATCAGTCTTTAGCTTGGTGTTTAATTTAAAGAAAAGTGAAGAAAAAAAAAACTCACCACACTGAGCGCAGACAGGCAGCTTCTGCACAGAGTTACAGAAGTAGCAGAATGCCCTGTTCTTCTGCTTCCTAAGAAAAATAAGCAGGAATACGTTTATTTCTCTTCAAATCAAAGTTCTTCTGAATCCGTTTCATCTGCTTTAAATACAGACTTACCTCTGACATTTGTCACATTCCTGTAAAAACCAAATAAACAGAGAGGATTAGCACGCTGCAGTGTTTGCACTGTTAGCCAAAGCAGTAGCAGCGGTAGTGGCTACTGACCATGTTCACGTTGCAGGGGTGTTTGGCCACTTCCACATGCTCCCTGTTGGCTCGGATCTGTTTCTCTCGCTCTTTGCGGTTCTCCGCCTTTTTCCTGGCTCCGGTTTTCTTTTTGGGCATCTCTGGAATCAATAATAGCTGTAACAGGAAAGGGAAAAGTTCATGGTGATCTTAGCTTTTAAAAACAGAAGTAGAAAACTAATGGCATCCACTTCGTGCTAATTTATTTTAGGTTTTATTTTAATTAATGGTAGCATACAAACACTAACTGACTCCTGAATAATTAATGAAAATATCATTTCAGATATAAGAAATAACTTTAAATTTTCCTTACCTCACCCAGCGAAGCTAGCGTTAAGTCCGTCTGAAAAAGGTGTCCGGTGAAACATAACGCAGTGATTTGGGTTCCGCAAGTGGAACAACAGTCACGTCTCCTCTATTTCTCTTGGTGCCTTACCACCATCAGCAGGAATGGAGTGTGGACTGAATCTTACATCACTTAAATCGTTAAAATGTTATGACAAATAAAATAATTGACAGCAATGTTGATGCCATTGGGTTGGGTACAGGAAGTATAAGAAGATTTTAATATGTTTAGATTTATACTCAAGACAGGAAATTTTGATAGAAATAATTTGGTCAGTAGAGGTTCAATTATTGTGGCTCCTGCACACAGAAAGGAAAAAAACTAGCTGACAAATTTGCCAAAAATGTTGCAAAAAAAAGTAAATATGGATGTAAAAATGAGCAAACGTGATGTTAAAAGCATAGTTAAGCTGTATGTCAAAAAGAAGTGATGGGATCAAGAAATCAATTCTCGTCAGTATTATCATATTGAAAGAAAACTGTAGAATTTAGGAAAAGTCATCATACTGGGTAAAACAGCACATTTATTTTACGTTTACTTTAAGATTAAGGGAAATAATAAAAAAAAATCTATGGAGGGGGTTTTGCTATATTATTATATAAAGAGCAATAAAAATAATTCCTTACTCATAATGCCAATATTTTCTAAAAATATAAGGGAAGGTCCTACATTACTATATCACAAGTCCGTTATTAAACATAATAATTCTAACATAATTTTAAAAATAAATAATTTGTTTATGTATACCTTTTGTTTTTAAAATGTATTTTATTTTTTCAAAGTCGGTCATAAATCAGGTTCCATAAAGAAAAGCTAATATTTACATTTCGATGCTTCTGTGTCTAGTTTGATCGTAACAACTGAACATATTTATTTCTTCCACGTGATTTTGAGCGTCAGATGCGCCTTGTGTACGGCTAGGTCACGTGCTGATGATCAGCTAGCCGGTTAGTGATGGGAATTCCGGTTTCTATTCAAGAGCCGGATCATTTGGCTCAAATAAACTAAATGATCCGGGAGAGATCATATTAGACAACTTGTTACATATTCTTCCTTAGAAATTAGGACAGTGTTGACATTAGGTTGGCCAAGAGAAATGGCTTTATAGTCTTTATCAGGCGTACCACCAACACAATACAAAAGTTCAAGCTTGGGACTTTTTATAGAAAAAAAGAAGATGCAATTAATTGGGTTAAATTTTTTATGCATTAAAATCTATGTAATTAACGAATCAAAACTATTGCATTAATGCATCTTAAAGGACATAAAAGGGCTCCATGTTCTCTCTGACTTTCTTCAAGACAACAACGTCCTGCAAGGTGTTGTTTTACACCTTTCTCATTTAAACGAGACTTTTTTTTTTAGTTTTAATAAGATTTTAATCTTGTCCTAATCAATTTTAGCGAGAAACATTCTCATTTTAACAAGATAATGCTCATATATTAATTTTCTAGCTTTCGCAGTTAAACAATTCCATATATTAAACATTGTCGGATAAATAGGACAGTTCGGTTTATTTAAAAGACCCGGCATATTGGATGGGCTCAGTCAACAGAGTCCCTCCTGAGAGCCACGCCCACCAACTGACGCTGAACAACAACACAATGCACACCCCTCTCTGAGATGCTCCGTGGCTGCTTCCACGCAAACTGCCACTCTGCCAGCCTGTTGGAGCAGGACCTCGGACATCATGGAGGTTTTCATGTCTTTTCAAAGTCACATCCCTCTGAAGCAGATGTGATGCGAGTTTAGCGCTGAACTCGCCATCTATCCGTCCATCCATCAGCCGAACCGAACCATGGCTCCGTCCCTCCTCCGAGCCTGCCGCAGTCTGGCTCTGTGGACCTGGCTGCTGTCCTTCTGCTTCGTCCAGCTGCTCTGCCTGGACTTCACGGCCGCAGAGAAGGAGGAGTGGTACACGGCCTTCGTCAACATCACCTACCTGGACCCCGTTTCCTCGGAGGTCCGGACGGAGAAGACCGAGTGCGGCCGATACGGAGAGCACTCGCCCAAGAGAGAAGCCAGAGGTCGGGTCCTGATCCCCGGCCTCCCGCAGGACAGACAGGGCTGCGACCCGAACGTCCGCTTTCCCCCGGTTCCCCAGAACACGGCCTGGGTGGCGCTGGTGGCTGAGGGAAACTGCACATTCAGGGAGAAAATCCGCAACGCCGCAAACAGCAACGCGTCTGCGGTTGTTATATACAACAGTGCCAACGACACCATCACGATGCCCCACTCAGGTAAGAGGAAACCGGTCCGAATCGGACCAGAAACGCCGAGATTTTCAGTTTGCGTTTGATGCGGTGATGTCAGAGAAGACGGATCTTCCTACAGGTGTCCGGCTGGTTAAGCGAGGCCTCGGAGCGGCTCTCTCTAATCACTGCGCGAAACTTAGAGGGTGATTAATAGATCCTGGAGCTGGGGCCTCTGAGGTCTCCTGAATCAGTGGCATCTGATATATTATGAATGAATGATCTGGCTGAAGAACCGAATCAATGACCTGGATCCCCAAGGACAAGTTTCCTCTGAGTTCAGATGCTGGCTGGAGCTCAGGAGTCAGGTTTCAGATGGTAAATAATCTCATTTCCATTCCAAGAAAAAGAGAACCAGAGTAAACTCAATTACAGAGTTAAAATAATTGTTATATATATATATATATATATAAAAGGTCTAAAAACCAGCCTGGTTCTTAGTGAAAAAATAATCACCTCTTAAATGGGCAGTATTATGTACGTTCCAGTGACATTTCATAGCACAATTAATGTTACATCAAATGTAACATAAAAGAAATTAAAATAAATTTGACTTGGCAATTTAACGACTTGAAATCGCACCTCTGTCTTTTTAAGAAGCTTCTGCTCTTTCTGACATTTCGCCTTCAGCATGTCATCACAACATTTCTACATTAAGCTGTTTACTACGTTCTTATGGGTGTTGCACTGAGAAGTAGCTCATATAATGAGCTCAGTAGATGCTCAGTTCCACCAGGTGTTTGCTAATTGCTGCTGCCGCTAGTCTGAAGGAGCTCTGTGGGGAGTCGTGGGCAGGGGTGTTATGTGAGGTGGAAGCTTGATCTGGAGACTGCAACACCAAACATTTTGTACCCCAAACAGTTTCCATGGGAGATGAAAAGGCTTCTCAAACATGCATGACAGACAGAATCAAAGCAGGACTCCAGATATGTTTTTGATTCACATAATAACATGATAAGATCTAAAAGGTTGATTTTACATAATAATGACCCTTTAAAACTACTAACTGGTAGTGCCATCCTCGGTTTCTACAAGTGCAACTCCAAAACCCGGAGTTGCTCTCTGTTGTTTTGGTGTTGCTGTCAGAGTCTGATTTGTTGACAGAGCTCCGTCTTCCTGTTGATTGGCAGTGTGTTATCAGCCTGTTGCTACTTTTCATAAAGGCGTGGCCGTCGTTAAGATTAAACAGAAACCTGGTGCTTTAAGGGAGTTTGATTAAAGGATCAGTAGAGTTCTAACAGATGTTAGGAGGAAAAAGCTTCAATAGTTCATTAACAATTTATTACGCACAGTGAAAACAATCTTGGCCCTACCACAGAAGTTAAAATCTACAGTCTTTCTTATTTCCCTTCTTACAGCCAAACAGCACCAAAGAAAATAAATGCTGCTCCCAGATTGGCTGCTTTGCAAGTGTTACAATGTCAAGTAGCATTGTGCCAAAGTATTTCAGCTCCTTGATCTGCATTTTCTTTGAAAATTTTAGATATGCTCTGCAAGTAAATCTGCAAATACTGAAACACAAATAGGTAGGTGTTCACTGAACAGCAATCTTTCTTATTTTTGGTAAGAACATGTTCAGCAACCAGCTGCTTTTCATAGCAATTGTTCATATGAAACCTTAATATTTCCATAATTAAACAAAGTTCAGTTGGGTTTGTAAAAACATTAAATCAAACAATCATTTAACAATTTATGCCATACAGTATGAAAAATAATTTTGAATGTGGCTAAGTATTCGTTAAATACTTTATAGGAATAGGTGACTGCTATAATTAACCACATTTACACATTTTCCCTTTGAGTTCATATTTCTGCCAAAAGAATCTGAAACCTTTTTCTCATTAGGTTTGTGTCTCTTTCAGATGGTTTCCTTATGATTTACTGTCAGTTTCTTTGAGGAGGACGATAAGATAAATCCCACATCGCTAAGCAACTCTACAGTTATTTCTGTTGACATAAAGCTCAAAGTTGGTGCATAGATTATTGTATTTTACAGAGTTTGACCTTTAAATTACTCTGTCGAGCTGGGGAGATGCATTAATTCCCACCAGCTCCGTATGGCCATGGCCAATAAAACCATAAATGTGCATGTGGAGATGTTTAAAGTTACAAAGGTGAAACATTAATGTGCAAAACAATAACTATTCAAACACTGTTAATGCCCAGACAGTCACAATTAGTTAATTTGTCTGTATAGACAAAAACAACGGATGTTGAATCTGCTACTAAATGTGACCTCTGACAAGATGTAGATGTTCACCAGATTACAGCAGTGGTATCCAAACCTTTTACCAAAGAATTAGGACCACGTTAAGAAAAAAAAATAAAATAAATGACAAAAATAAGTCAAAATACAAGAATAAAGTAATAATTTTACAACTTTAATCTCATAATATTGACTTTATTTTCGTGTTATGATTTTATGCTCATAATACTGACTTCATTCTTATAATATTATGCCTTTATTCTTGTAATTTTAATTTATTTTATTTTTTTTTCCTTAGGTGGGCCCTAATACTACGTAATTAGTACAGTAATACTACGTAATTAGTACAGTAAAACTTTTCAACGAAGTCTGCTTTAGTGTTTAATAAAATAATTTGTGACATTAGTGAGATTTTTACCAGAATACCACACGAGCAGCAACTGTGAATGTTTTACAAGAGACTCGTTACATAAAGGGGATAATCAGTGTGACAGACAAAAGGCACCAAAGTGCTGCAAATGTTGCTAATGTGTGGGATTCAAAGCCTGGGACGCTTCAGGAAACGTGCTTTCTCTCTGCAGGATCATTATCTGTTTGAACCCCAGTTTTGTTTGGT